ATATAGTCTAGAGTTGCAATGTTCCCTCCTTGATACCCAGTCCATATGTAGAGGTCCTCATTCCTCATGCCTCATAACGTTACTGCATTGGGAAACAGGATCATAGCAGCTACGGTTATTACAGCGAAGGAGAGTGGGCACCCAGTCCATTATTACTATTGTCTTACAGTGAGACTGCCCTGTGGAGACTCAGACATATGCATAGAGAGAACACCGTGATGATGGAGGCAGACAGCAAGGTGACACGGCAGAAACCAGGATCACCAAAGATCCGAAAGAGGTCTGCAATACCTTGATCTTAGAGTGCTAGCCTCAGCCTTGAGTTTTGCTGTCTCACCCGCTCAGCGGCGGTGCCTCATTGAGGAAGCACAGGAAGTAATAGACAGGATATGATCCCAACTGTACAGAGTAAAGGGAACTCACGTGATGGGATAGGGGGAGACAGGGAGGAAGAGAGAGTAGGGAGAGAAAGAGAAGAAGAGAGAGAGGGAGGGAGAGGGACAGGATGAGGGACAGGGAGAGAGACAGGAAGAGAGAGAAGGGAGAGACAGAGAGGAAGAAAAGGAGGGAGACAGAGAGGGCGAGGGACAGGGAGAGAGGGGGAGGGAGAGAAAGAGGGAGAGAGGGGGAGAAAGGAAGAGGGAGACAAAGGTAGCTAATATGGAGCTAACGTCTTGACTCATTGCTTGTGCAAGGTTGTGTGTTCTGACCCCAGCAGAAAACAAACAAAAACAAAACAAACCAAAAAACCTTCCCGAGTCACTACAAACAAAAACGAAACAAAAGGCTAATGATGATTTTTAAACTATTATTTATTTATTTTGGGGATCAGGCCTCACACTATAGCTCAAGCTAACCTGGAACACATTATGTAACCCTAGCTGGCCTCAAACTTGCATTGATTATCCTGCCTCAGCCTCCTAAGTGCTGGCATTACAGGCAGGAGCTGCCATCCACCGGCTAGCAGTTAGTTTTCTTGTAACAAGCTGTTCTACCTTATCCTTTGCTCGGCACTTTGGGTTTCTCTCGCGCTATTACACCTCGGCTTCCTCACCTGTCATTGAAGAACAGCGGTCCGGTTTCCCAACTGCTGTGAAGATGAAGGTGCGTGGTGTCTAGTGTCTGCTGGTTTCCTCGTGGGAGGCAGAACAGCTCCAAAGAAACGCTGCCGGATGCAGTAGCCCGCACCCTCATCATCCTTTAGCTTTCCGGGCTGTAGCACAGGCAGTGATGCACAGTTCTGGTCTGTGTGTGTTGAGGCCAGCTGTGCAGACACAGCCCAGGAGGAGAGCTGGCATGGCATCTTAGCTTTGGAAAGTCAACAAGGGAAAGTAAGAGACGCTGGTTATGCGTTCGACTGGAGGAAGGCTGGCTGAATAAGGGCAGTGTAACCATTTGGGAAATGGGGCTGGGGGAGACAACTGAGAGGGAAAGAGGGGCCAAGATAAAGTAGAAACATAGCCAGGGAGGCAAACAATCCCTTCCGGCGGGTAGACTGCCCCACTTCCGTTCACTCTGGGAAAGCTCTGAGAATCGCAGTCAGGGACATAACTGAGCTCGTGGGAAGATATTCTTTCCCCAGGGGGCTGTTTCTAGGTGAGCCATTCTTTTCTGATCGGTTTAGGCAGCCTCTCAACAGGGAAAGTTAATTGTCAGGAACCTTGCGCTTCCTTTTGGATTGTGTGACCCCCCTCTGTGTGCCCCCTTGTCTTCTCTAGCTTCATTCTAAGCTGCAGCAACTCAAGGAAGACTTGGGTCCGCACAAGACTCGTTCCCGCCCCATTGCTGTAAGGAAGTCCCCACGCCTTTCTTCCACTCGGGCTCTCCCTCCTTCCCTAAGATACTGTGGCAGCGTGGGTGCATCGGTGTGCTTCCTGTCACTAATCGCCCAGAGACCAGGCGAATTATGAGGAAAAGAGGCCTATTTTGGCATATGGTTCCAGAGGTTCGAGTTTGAGGGTTCACCTAGTGGTGACCTTGCTGGCAGAGCCCCAGGTTAGTACTGGTTGTCATACGGGAAGAAACAAAGTACATGAGTATAGAGTATGTGTCTGGTCTGGCCTCTCTCTCTCCTTTTATTTAAAAAAATTAAGATTATTTTAAATTATGTGTATGCCTATTTAGATGTGTGTGTGTGTGTGTGTGTGTGTGTGTGTGTGTGTGTGTGTACCCACAGAAGCCAGAGGCATCAGGCAGTTACTTGTGAGCTACTGAATGTGGGTACTGGGAGTCTAACTTGGGTCCTCTGCAAGAGCAGTATACAGAGTAAGCAATGGGGGGGGGTTGTTCCACCCAACTCATTTTAATCCTTCCCAAAAGCCCCACCTCTAAACACCTGAGCTGGATTAAGTTTCCCCCTCCTGAATATGTCACAATAGGGTTCGATTTCAGCACTTTAAGGCTTGGGAGATACTGAAGCCATTTCCAAACCCCGGCAATGAGAAGCGTTTATAGAATCAAGTAACCCACAGAACAGGACACGAACATCACATGTAAAGTATGGTTCTCACTGTGTAAAAGTAAATGAGTGAACAAAAGTATATAAACCTAGAAGGAAAATGAAATCGGAGGAAACAAAAATAATAATGGTCTGGTAAGGTAGAAGACTTGTGCCTTTTCCTCTTACTCTTCATGGTCTTAATTTTTCTATTTAAATAAAATTGAGAGGGTTTTTGTCTTGTTTTGGTTTGGTTTTGGGTTTTTCTTTGACAGGGTTTCTCTGTGTAGCCCTGGCTGTCCTGGAACTTGCCATGCTGGCCTTGAACTCACAGAGATCTGCCTGCCTCTGCCTTCTGAGTGTTGGGATTGAAGGTGTTCTCCGCCACCTCCTGACTTGTTTGTTTTGATTTTGGTTTTTGAGAGAGCATCTCACTATGTAGCCCAGGTTGGCTTCAAACTCATAATCTTCCTGTCCGAGATGTGAGATTACAGGAGTGCTCTGCTAGACCTGGCTATTTCCCTTAAAAACTTAATGTAATAAAAAACCCTTTTATAATTAAGGAAGACACCTGTTACAATGAGGCAAGGGACACGATGAGTGGTAAGTTTGCTAAAAGAAATGAAAAGGGAAAGTCTGTTGTTGACGGGTTTTATGGACGTAAATCCACAGACCACTCCCCACCCTTACCATCCAGCCTGAGCATCACCAAAATGAAGCTCAGGAGGAAGACTTCAGGCCTGTTGGGCAGTTCTGAATTGTGGCCGGGACCCAGGCACTGCAAGCGCAGGGTCTGCAGAAGCCTGCGAAGAGGTACTAAGTTTGGGGGTTTCCAGCTTCAAGTATGGCGTGCTGCAACTGTGATGCTGTTTATTTTTAGAAGTCCTTTTGGGAGGCATACTGTTCACCTCTGACTGAATTAGCTGTGTTCCTTGGAGCCATGGACATCTTTCTGCTGTAGCAGCAATAGGATCAAAGCACGTGTCAGAAAGAGAAGTGAAAAAAACACCAGATGTGAGCAAAACCACAGGGGGGGTTTTCAGCCAGCCAGCTTGCACCAGATGACCCAGTTTGGAATATGGCCCAGGGCTGGGATAGACTGGCCAGCTAAGGATGAGACTGGACACACAGCCATTATTGATCCCGATGTGAGCCAAATGTGGTTAACTTGGTCTATGACCTTGCTCAAGCCATTGACCTCTCCATGACTTTCACCATCTGCGAAACACATGGGCTGCTCATTTCCTCTCAGGAAAAACTGGTGGCGGGCCTTGTTAATAACAAGAAGTATGAACAGGCAGGAGCGGTGATCTGCAGGCTGGCGGTGTATTATATTGGAGCACATGAATGCCATGACACAGATGGAGTGCACGTATATATTTTATGAGAAAACTGTGTATGAAAATACAGGCTTAAAAACTGCCACATCAGTTCAAAAGCAAATAATATTGACCACTGAAGGGTATGACAGGACTTTTTATTTCTCTGCCCAAGGCTCTTCAGAAACCCTGGGGTTAGACTAAAGCCCCTGCTTGGCACATGCTTAAATGTTAGTAGAGAATGGAGCTTACTCCAAGTTCCCACTCTTTTCCATGTAGTGTAGAAATTATAGCTTTTATTCAGTGAGGCTAATGCCAGGATATACCTCATGGATTTGTGAAATCTGAATAAATAACTCTGAAGAGCTGAGACGAGTACTGAGTATGTATTAGTTATTATTACCCAGTACTAATAAAACTATGCTTAAAGACTTTTCCGGCTGTCATGGGGAATTGAACCTTGGGCCTCTCACATGTTCATTAAGCACCATACCACGGACCTACATCCAAGCCCCTTTTCGACTTTTTGTTTGGAGACAAGCCTCACTAATTTGTTTCAGTTGTTGCTGAATTCTTTCTGTAGCCTAAGCCAGCCTTGAAATTGCCATCCTCCTGCCTCAGCCTTTCGAGTATCTGGGATTACAGGCCTTCACCATCTGGCTTGGTAGTCTCTGTATTTATAAATCTCATTTCTACTTTCTCCTACAAATGTTTCTCACATTCTTGCTTTATATAAGAATATTTCCAAGAACAAACAAGATCGGGGGTGTCCAGGGTGGTATGGTCTTATTTCATCTTGTTATGCCGTGTTCACTTGAAGTCACTGGTAGGCCTGCTCTTTTCTGAAGGGAAATGGAGGAGCCTTGGATCTGGGGAGAGGGCAGGTGGGGATGGGATTGGGAAGAGGGGAGGGAGGAGAGGAGGCTGCACTCAGGATGTATTGTATGAGAGAAGAATGAAAAAAGAACCCAAACCCAAAAAAACTTGAATATTTCCTATCTTACCCGTGGTCTGTGCAGGACAGTGGTCCCTCTAGACTTTAAACTAGCTTCACTCACTCGACATCAAAGCCATCTCATCCATTCGTTCCTCTCCACATCTCCTTTGAGTCACGTTGATCCCACAGCCAGCAGCCTCTGAAGAATCCCTGAGTCCTCCACTTTTTTACTCATGGGCTTCTTATGTATCAGGATGGCCTTGTCACCACTACTGCCTAAAAAATCTGGTTTTCTTCTCTCTAACAGGGATAGCCTACAGCTGAGGCCTCTCAGAGACACAGAGGAGTCAGGGATGGAGTTCTGATCGAGCGATGCATCCCTGCCACACCCACAAAGGTGGCAGAAGGTGATGGCAGCAGGTCCAAGAGTGGAGTTGCTGGAACTCATCTTAGGTCTCATACTCAGGAGGTGACTCTGTGTAAGAACATGGGAGAGGAAAAAACACAGTGACCCCTTGAGAAATGTGATTATTTAAGATTCAGGCCTGTTGGGGAATGTTGGGAGTCACTTTTCCTAAAGCACCAACAGGAAGTTGATTATACTTTTGACCCTTGTGGAAACGGTAGAAAGAGGGGCAGAATCATGGAGTTGGTCTGGTCTAGCAGCCTTGAGAGGCATGCGTCACAGATTTTCAGGTTTAGGGTCTGTGGTTCCTGAGGACTCTATGCCTTTAAGTTCCTGAGAAACCGAGGCACTCCCTCAGACAATGGCACATTCTGGCTGCCTGTGTTTCTCTGTGTTCCCTAGAATTCAGCAAGGTTTATAGAGACTTGATAGGACAATTGTCCTTAGACATTAATCTTTTGTACCCTGTAGAGATGGCAAACATCATTGTATCCTGGTGCTGCCATTATATTCTGATAAGGGTATAAAACCTCTGATTGCATGCAATAAATTTGTGTCAGCCCAAGTCTTGCAGAGATTCGTCCAACCAGGCCTGGTTTTCATTCCCACTGACCAACCATATCAGGAGCCCCTGGTTTGATAAGTAAGCACTGGCACTTACCAAGAGAATGCTGTAACCTTTCTCTTTTGTTATTCCATCACCAGCAACAGCATCTTTTCAAAGAACATTCTAGTAAACAGAGGCAGAGCTTTTCTGTGTACCAACTGCCCAGTTCCAAATAAACACACAAAAGCTTATTGTTTACAAAATGTTCGGCCTGTAGCTCAGGCTTATTGCTAACCAGCTCTTACAACTTAAATTAACCCATTTCTATTCATCTATATTTTGCCACGTAGCTTTGTGGCTTTACCTGTCCTCTAGCACATCTTGTTCCTCTGGCAGATGCTCACATCTCTTGACTCCACCCTTATTTCTTCTTGTGTTTTCAGTTTGACTTTCCCACCTAGTCTTATTCTGTATTGCTATAGGCCAAATCAGCTTTATTATCAACCAGTGAAAGTAATACATCTTCACAGCATACAGAAGAATTATCCCACAGCACTATCTTTAAGAATATATTTGTTTATTATTTCTAATTATGTGCATATGTGTATGCTTGCCCCTGGAGTCCAGAAGAGGACATCAGATCCCCCTGAAGCTAGAGTTACAGGCAGTTGTGAGCTCTCTGATGTGGGTGCTAGGAACTGAACTTGGGACTTCTGCAAAATCAGTCCACCCTAGATCTATCTCCAGCCCCACATGGGCACCCTTGACTTCCAACACTGTCATGTTTGATTGTTATTTCAGAGGCAGGTGAGAATCAGGGGAAGAAGGGAAAGCCCCAATGTCAAGTGAGGAGCTTGTAACACCAGGGCCTTGTTTCTCCTTCTATGCTTTGATCCCGTGCAAGTTAGAATCTCTAAAAAAATCTATATATCTTAGTCACTGTTCTATTGTTGTGAAGAGACACCATGGCCAAGGCGACTCATAAGAAAGCATTGAATTGGGGCTGGCTTACAGTTTCAGAGGATTAGTCCCTTATCATCATCATGGAAAGGAGCATAAGGCTGGAGTAGTAGCTGAGAATGGCATCCTGATCCATAGGCAGACAGACAGACAGACAGAGAGAGAGAGAGAGAGAGAGAGAGAGAGAGAGAGAGAGAGAGAGAGACCTAGTGACACATTTCTCCAACAAGGCCATACCTCCTAATCCTTCTAATTTTTCTCAAATAGTGCCACTTCCTGATGACCAAGCATTCAAATCTATGTGTCTATGGGGGCTATTTTTAGTTCACAGTATTCATGTGAACCACCCTTGGTCTGTCAGTGAACTCTGTTAAATAACTGAAATTTGAGTATCAAGCTCCTGGGAAAAGATACAAGAAGATTGTCTCAGACTTTCTTTCTTTTTAATTGGAGAAGCATTGCAGATGAAGGCAAGCACTTTATTTCAATCAATGGCAAGAAAATCCTTCTTTACACTGTCAAGGTCTAATTGATACAATCAGTGAATAAGGCTGCAGTGATCTTCTAGGGGCTTCTGCCCTAGAAGGAAAGGCAGAATGAATGGATTACTAGTTTACACTTAAAAATTGGAATTAGATGGTTCTTGATTAAAATTCCAGCTCTAGTTCTGCTTTAACAAACAGCAGTGTGGTCTGGGCAAACATAGCTGGCATGGTCATCTATCTTCTCATTTGCACAATGCAGATAAGCATTCCTATCTAGTAGAGTCCTTGGGTATTGAGCAAAATGATATGATTGAGAACACTTAACAGAATAGGTACTCCATAAATCTGCCTTTCCTCTTCATTGAGAGATAAGGAATGAGCCTGGAAGCCTGGGGACCCAAGGTTAACTACTGTCTCTCCGATTAAAGCCCTGGCTCCCTACTATTTTTTTAATCTGTCTTTCCACTGGTCCCAGAAGAGCGCTGCATTTATTGCTCGTTTCCTGATGCTGGAAGGGATGAAATGACAAAACAAGGAGATGGCTGGTGAGACAGAGGCTTTAGAAGCACCAGTGCTGCCTGGGTTTGCACAAGGGTTTGCACAACTTTCCCAGGTTGACACAGCCTGAGCACACAGCCACGGCGGTAGGGAAGTGGCAGAGTGTTGCCAGCATGGGATTATGACGGAATCGCATCAACCCACAAAGTAAACAGTCCTCCTGTCCACAACTGAAGAGGGTGCGATGAAGCACGGCTCTCTGCTCCCCCGGCAGGGTCGCCTAGGGTCATCCTGGATCTAATTTTCCAGAAGCTTCTACATTAATCTTTCTTTGGCATTTCCAAAGTTACAAAGGTGCAAAGTAAAGAAGGAACTACAAGAGAAGGAGGCCTGAAGATTACTCCAGGGTAGGACGGGCTCTCTGTGGGAATGAGAGTCTGGGCCTGACTTGATGCCTGACTGCTCCCAAGCCCCACCAGGAACTAGCTGGGGCCCTCGAAGATAGAGTTACCTTCTCTGAAATCTGTTTTGTCACCTATGAAATAGCCTCAGATAGCAACTTACCAAACTCTGACTGTGAGGCCCTTCTGAAGTTTTCTTTTATCTCTAAGTGAACTGCGGTGGCCCTCCTGTTTACCGATGAAGATGCAGAGCTTGGGAGACGCTGTGATTCACACAGCCTCCATCAGCTGCTCAAAGATACTGACTGTTCTGAATCCAGACTGTGGCTTAATCCCGAGGCTAGACTACCTAACACTGGGAGGGAGAGGCGACTGCTGGAAGCTCGCAGCGCTTTGGAAGGCTTCAGGCAGATGTTTGCTCCAGCCTTGGAGGAGAGCGTGCGCCCAATCCCGTTCAGCTCGCTGACTTTCTTATTCATTGCCTTCCTCTGATCTGTGAGCGTTGGACTGCAGTGGCCTTTCATCTTCTTTGCTTTTGCTGTCAGGCCTCCCACACGTGTGACTTCTTGCCAACAGGGATGTGAAGTGTAAGAAGCCACTCTGTCCACATATATCACTACATGTGTACACACATGTTTATGTTAGTGTGGTATACCAGCGTGTATTTTTTTCTTTTTTAGAGATTGACAGTTTAAGAATATATCGTTGTTGTATCATGTATAAACAACATTCCAGATTCAGAGTTTGGAATGAGAAAAAAGTGCTGTGATAAAATGACAGACATGGAAGACACATTTACCAGGGAAAATAACAAGAGTCTTTAGAACAGCGGTTCTCAACCGTCCTCATGCTGTGACCCTTTAATACAGCGCCTCATGCTGTGGTGACCTCCAAACATAAAATTATTTTCGTTGCTGTTTGATAACTAAGTTTTCTACCGTTGTGGATTGTAATGTAAATATCTGTGTTTCCCAATGGTCTTAGGTGACCCCTGCGAAAGGATTGTCCAACCCCCCCCCAAGGGGGCTGCCACTCACAGGTTGAGAATCGCTGCTGTAGAGCCTTCTGGGTTCAGCTCCAACCTTGACTAATGCTGCAAGCATGAGCAGACCCTTTCCCTGAGTGGACAATGAGCGCCATGTTTCTTCATCGGTTGGTTCTTAGCCCTCACTCCAGGCATCGGTGGCATCAGACTGTCATCTCTGTAGTCTTGGGTCACATCTGTAGAGTCCTTCCTTTCATGTTTTGGCATGGCAGGTCATTCACTCAGTTTGTTGATGACAAGGTGTTTCATACTTGCTTTTTGTTTTGGTTGATTCGTTCATTCAGGAGATGAGCAAGTGATTTTGAGACTCCTATAATTCTATATACCCCACAAACACCGGGACACAGAGCAAGGGGTTTATTACTTAAACATACTCACTGAAAAGTGTGATATTATGATTTAAGTTTTTCCTCTACCTTAAATGGTTACATAACACACCTGTGATGAGTGTCACAGTTAGGCTTCCCTTTGAAGAGGGTAAGAGGGAAGATTATCTGCCTAACGAGGTGTATGGGAATTAGCTGTAATAAACATCACACATCCATCATGAGTTACTATTAGCATCATTATTAATTAATCACTCTATTGCTAGAGAACTACAGATCAGAGAGCCGTGTCCCTTGCCGCACAGGTCAGTAGAATCTAGCTGAGCGTTTCAGTTTTCACACTTCAAACCCAGTTGAGGAAATTGTCCCTTGAGACTGAAATCACAGAAGGAAAAAGGAAGAGCATCACAAGAATCTATGTGACAGGTTTTATGGTGGGTGAGTAGGCAGAAGTATCTGGCCACAGCAGAGCTCAGGGGAGAGGGCGAGGCCCAGGTCTGTACCACAAGCTGCTGTACTATTCAGATTTGCTTCCTCAAATGCTCTGTCTTCCCAGCACCGTCACAGAGCGCATTTGCCTTCTCCTTTGTCTTCCATTCCCCCAGCTGTCCACCGGCCATGCTCGAACCTACCACCCCTTTTGCAAGCACAGCATGTCCTGAGCCCTACCTGAGCCCACAGACAGACAGACAAATCCGTCAGAGAGTGTTCATCCAAGTTCTTCCCCGCTAGGGCACAAGTGCTCAGAAGTCATCTGCTCTACCTTCCACGCTTGCTGACCGGTGCAACCCCTGCACCTTTAAAGCATGGGGCAAATGCATTTGTCAATTGCAGAGCAGGCTCTGACTGATGTTAAAAAAGGAACGGAAAAATGTTCAAGGAAAAGGTAGGAAGTCATGTAAACACCTGGAAGAATGCGCTACTATTTTGCTTGAGGACATTCTATGTGGTGCTTGCTGTTGGAGAGATCAGGCACCGAGGAGATGCAGAGGCAGCAACTGAGGGAATTAGAAAAAATACTCAAAGGTGAGAGAGAAGCCCCATGCAGTCAGCCAACACGCACTGATCCCAGTGTGCATCCTGCAGCCCCTACAGCGATGATGATGAACCTTTGGTGGCCGAGCCTTTCGCCGTTTCTCCCACGTCTCCTTTTGTCTATTGTGTCTGCTGTCCTGATCTAGGAAGAGATGGGGAGGGACTGGCCAATATGACAGAGCGGGGAACACAGCCTTAGGGAGCCTGAGGAGGGAAGGGAAGGACTCCACCGGGACGATCTGTTTCTTC